TGAAAGGGGAGTATAAAATTTATCCTGCATATTTTTGGATGAACATAGGAGTATCAACCTTGGGTATGGGTGTCAGCTTTTCTTTGGGATTCAGGCTGGAAGAGTATTCAGGATTTGCTTTCCAGCTCTGGCCAGGATGTTTGAGAACTGCTGTACCCAGAGACTGAGGGTGACTTAGAGAAGGACTTTGTACTGTCACCAATCTAATGATGCTGTTTATTTAGCACATTCCCTGTTCAAAATATCAGATGACTGAAGTATTATTTTGATTGAAGAATTTTTTTTTATTAGAAACTCCCAAGATGTTAAGTGTATACTTTAGAAGGCAAAAGGATATTTTTCTCCATGACTGAAAGTAGAATTGAGATATTTGATCTCAAATTCTCTTTCTCTTTTCCCCTCAACCGCCAAACTGATAATTATGGAAATTCTGAGGCTGGGGCACTTGGGTAGAGTTTAAATATTTACCCCACAGGAGTCAGACATGTCCTTTTACAGAAAACTGAATTCTAATGGCAGAAAGATTGGCCAAAAGAACAATCATGAAACATTTTTGTGGCCTCAGTATCATGGTCTTGTCAATAAAGCGATGGCCTCTGATTCAATCCAGATTGAGCTGTTTCCTGTTAGCGTGCTAACCCAGAGGGCAGGCCCAGCCCTCATGTCTTGCTCTGAGTCTGGGTTATTAAACACGTGTCTGCCTAGTCTCTCCCCGCCCCCTTCCATCTATTACTTTTCTTCCAAATTAGAATTTAGAAATATTGCAAACCAAACATACCCTATAATCTCTTAAAAAGAGATTATATAGCTGTTGAATATTTTGCTACAAACATGAAACTGAAATTTTAGATGCTCTGATATGGTCAGGAGACATGCCTGTCTTTGTGTGTGTGTGTGTGTGTCTTTCACTTTTGTAGAACTTTTTTTTTCAGTTTAGCTATAGTCACTAACCAGGTTTTTTAAAAGAATGTTTGCTTCGGGCCCTCCCTGTTGGCACAGTAGTTTAAAGCACAGTGCTATAAAGCTAACGCAGCCACTGCAGCACAGGTTCAATCCCTGGCCAGGGAGGTGACCCACATGGCAAGGCAGACCTTTTCTGACCTGCCCGCTGCTCCCCTCAGAGTGTATTTCAGTCTGTCTGCCTGTTCAGCTCCCCACTGAGTATGTGGTGAATCCTCTTACCCTCTGCACCTCTGGCTTATACCCTAGTTCTGTATGCATAAATAAATAAATCTTTAAAAAAAATAATGCTTCATCAAAGTGTACTCTCTTTGAGTGATGGTGAATTAGAACTTATCTGCAGATGCCTGGTCTCCCTTCTATGACAAGTAGATATTAGGGAGCGTGGCCAAGATGCAGAAAACAACCATAACACAAGTGCTGGGTACCCTAACTTGCACAGCCAACATATGGAAATGATTTTAGTCACTAGGGCGGCCTCTGTCCTTCCCTTTGTGGTGTTATGATCACTGCTCATTCATTGCACTTAGAGAATGATTTTTTTTATAACAGTTTATTTTTACATCATTTGTACATTTTTTTTCCACCTCAATTGTAATCCCCGCGGGTTTCCCATCACCAAGTCATCCGTGTGCCATCACCAAAATCCCATGCATTCCCCCCCCCCCCCCCCGTTTCTGATCCCATTCCCCACTCCACCCCTGCAAAATGTCTCTGGTATATGGTTGTTCATTATTTTTGTTATTTTCTCGCCTGGTCCATTATACTCCTGCTATGAGCGAAACCATCCAGTGTTTTTCTTTCTTAGAGAATGATTTTTAAATCCATCTATTCAAAGTATTTTATTATCCCACTGTTAGCTCAAATATGATTCTTCCTAATGTGCAGATGCAAATAACTGAGGGAAAAAAACTGTCAAAGAGGCTTACAGGGATCAGGCAGGCAAACTGAGATTTTCTGTTTCGGACTAAGAGGAAGACTGACAGGAAGCGACTGGGTTAATGAGCAACACGATTCCATCCCCAAGGGAGAGGTTCAACTTCCTGCCAACTCTGCCTTCTGGCAGGAAAAGGGACCCACTTTATCAGGGCCTGTGACAAGCATTTTCTCTGGGTTTGAATTTGTGGCTGCATAAATGCTTGGGGGAAAATTAGTCCTTTAAGTAGTTATAACTTTCTGTAAGAAAAGATTTCGTCTTAAAGCGGAATTTGCATTGCAAGTAAAATAAGAATCATCAAATTACAGAGTTGCTAAGGAAATGCTGCTACTGTCAGAAGTGAGGAAGCTTGATTTCGAATTGGAGCCTGAATATCCCTAAAGGCTTAGAAGCCACCCTTTTTGAAATTGATGTATATATTATAACTACTACTTTTTTTTTTTTTTAAAGATTTATTTATTTATTCATACAGAACTGGGGTACAGGCCAGAGGCTCAGGGGCGGTGAGAGGCTTCACCAGAGACAGAGTGGGGAGCAGAACAGGCAGATCGATGAAGTACACTGCTGAGAGGAGCAGCGGGCGGGTCAGGAGAGGTCTGGCTCGCCATGTGGTCTCCTCCGGGGCAGGCGGCAGGCGGGAATCGAACTCATACAGAAGTGGCTTCAGATTCTCAGTGCTGTGCTTTAACCCGCTGCGCCACCAGGGAGGGCCTATAACTACTACTTTTTAATATCAGGTTGATAACTGTTTTGACCAGGTCATTTGAAATGACACCTTAAAACATACACAATAGCCCTAAATTTTGGTGTTAAGAGAGATAAAGGGAATGCCAATATTTGGAGCTAAATGTCACCATATTTTATCATATCTTGATTTGTTTTTTTTGAAGTGACAGTGCTAATGTGAGTCAAGTTTTCAATGTGCCACAGTTACTTACTAAGCTAACGTTTTCCATGATAGTTCCTTCTCATATTCTGCAAGAGACTCTCAGAATAAGGGAAAATCCATTTTGAAATGTCCTATAGTATATCTTTCTTTTGGAGTTTCATAACATATGTTAGGATATTAAAGAGTAAGACATTCTACAGGAAAGAAATGTGTCTTTCTTTGTTGAACTCTGTAGTTCCCAAACTTGACCACAGGAACTAGCAGTTTATACAGCTTACACTCAGGGCAACACTATACCGGGTAATTTAAAATGTAATTAGATTTTGAACCCATGGGTCTTTTTCATTTGTTGTTTCTGACCGAAGTTAATTGAAGCTGCAGAGATGTATGGAGACTGTTCTAGAACTACATATACAATGATAAGGAACAATTACTTGACCTCAATTTAAGTCATCGGGATTAAAGAAAGATTTGGTATTTTGCTGGAAATAGATCCCTCTTCTTAGGAAACCCAACATATCTTTTGAAAATTGATTGTGTATAGAAATAAAGTCACCTACCACATAAGCTGTAGTCTTAACAATAATTCCAATTAGCGGTTAGACATGGTGACATTAAGCCATTCCAGCCCCCTGTAAAGCAGCTGCCCCCATGGTGGTCTTGCTGACAGCAATCTTCGCTGTTAATTTCCTTCCAGTGGTTGAACTTCTGACAGGCCAGGTGAAGAAAAGTAAATATGGCACCATTTAAACATAATTTTCTCATTTCAAGATTCAGTTCTGTCTTCTTTATCTCTCCTTTCATTTTCACGGGTCTGAGCATTTCAATTTAGGAAAATCTATATAGAAAGCAATTCAAACTTACAATTCAGAGAAACCAACAAGTGTTTGTCACCTCACTTGCAATGATTTTTGTTTTAGAAAAAGATCCTTTCACTAGATCATCTTCTCTTGTACCTTTGTATAGGACAAACTAAACTTTGAAACTTGTGTCCATGTTTAATTGGTTAGGCACAGATCATATTGAAAGGTGTAAGACACACCCATATTTTTCTTTAATTTAGTTTTTAGGCTTACAGATTTTATCACTAATCACCTCTTCAGTGTTCTGGTTTATGTTTCCCAAGATGCAAGTATTCCTACCTGTGTTAGCCACATGTTGGGCTTATGTGATCATGTGATAGCTACTTCTCACCAGCAAATGTATTCCTTTGCACATTGCATGTCTCCAATGATGGTGTGTGTGTGTGTGTGGGGGGGGCTGTATTTACCCCACCCCCTTCTTCTGCATCACTTTCCCGAAATCAGCCAGTGCTGCAGATATAACCACTTTTCAGTCACCTGTGCTGACTTTCAGTCACCTGTGCTGATGGTCATTGCTATGGAATCAGAAATTATGTTGCCTTCTGTGTGCTGAAGGATCATGGTCAGAGCTGCTTAGATTTCCATGGAGATCATGCTTCTCACATGGCAGATTATTCTAGCTATAAACTTGATGTCAGCTGGCTCACACAAATCCAAAGGATGAATTATCAACTCTTCAAAGCCAGTGTGAGCTGGCTCCATGGCACCACTGCAGAAGCTTTTAAGGATGAGTTTGGAAATTTACCAGGGATTAACACAGAAGGAATGATTGATAACATTTGCTAAACTCAATCTTGGGGTCATAGGAAGCAGTCCTGATAAAATATGTTAGCAGCCTAGTTCTTTATAGTAGAATAAGTGAAGCAAATGCACTATTATGAAGTACCATTTCTACTAGAGGAGAACACACACACACACACACAGAACTTTTTATACTTACAATTGAGAGACTTGCCTGTGTGCCTGTGGGAATTAAGTAAGATCAAGGGAGACAGGACCAGCTATAATTTAACTATTTTACTATTTTTGGTTCTTCTTAAAAAAAAAAAAGATTTCTTTATGCATACAGAACTGGGGTACAGGCCAGAGGTACAGGGGCAGTGAGAGGATTCACCAGATACAGAGTGGGGAGCAGAACAGGCAGCTGACGGGAGAACACACTGCTGAGGGGAGCAGCAGGCGAGACAGGAGAGGTCTGCTGCATGTGGGTCAGCTCCAGGGCCTGGGATGGAACACTCACTGAAGCGGCTCCGGCCAGCTTACAGTGTTGTGTCTTAACCTGTTGCACCACCAGGGAGGGCCTGACTTTACTTTCTTTCCTCCCATTCATGATCATGACTTTCTTGTACAGGTTGAAGGGGACCAGTTGCCTCCAGGACACACAGTCAGTCAGTATGAGACCTGTAAGATCAGGACCATCAAAGCTGGCACCTTGGAGAAACTTGTGGAGAACCTGCTGACTGCTTTTGGGGACAATGACTTCACCTATATCAGCATCTTCCTGTCAACATACAGAGGCTTTGCCTCTACTAAAGAAGTGCTGGAGCTGCTACTGGACAGGTAAGAAGGGGAAAGAGTGGAGAGGTGATCAGAATGCTTTCAGGGTGCAGGCTCTGAATCACCTGCAGTTGGTGGGCTGATAGAGATGGATGAGGAAGATGTACTGAAGGGATGATCTTTGGAACAGATGCCATAAATATTGTTCCAAAGCCACTTTATGGGCTATTTCTGGTAAAAATATCTCATAAAAATATGTAAGAGTCAAGAGTACATACTGGATGACAAGACTCCATTGTAATAGATTTCAGTGCCTATGTGCCACCCTAATATTTTCTCTATATTTTTCCATATTTATATAATGCCAATAAATAATTCATTTAGCTAGGAATTGTGTTGTGAGAATTCAGTGTAATCATATGTATGAATTGGGGGCTTAGTGAGCCCATCAGAAGCAGCTGGCTGGTGGCGCAGTGATGGTGATGATGATGATGATGATGGTGGTGATGGTGATGATGATGATGATCATGGTGGTGATGATGATGTTGATGATTATGATGGTGGTGATGATGATGGTGGTGATGATGATGGTGGTGATAATGATGATGGTGGTAGTGGTGATCATAGTGATGATGATGGTGGTAATGATGATGATGATGATGATGATCGTGGTGATGGTGGTGATGATGACGACTGTTATTCTCACCACCCATTGGCTACTTCAGGGATCTTCACTCCTCAGCCTTGATACATGATAAGTCACATGTTTATATAGCGTTTGGGCAGTATACATTATTTTTCAAACATTGATAATGATATTCTTACTCATCTTATTTTTATTTATAGTTAAGGCTAGTTTTTAAGGAATTATTAAATCAGTTTGATAATAATAAGAAGTAAATTCTCAGCCAAGCCACTGTTTTAGAAACATGAGGCTTCTCACCTGAATCCTTATGCTGAGGCTTCTTGCATAAAGAAAGAAATGAGATAGGGTGTTTTTGTCACAGTTATTGAATATTGATTTTGAACTAGATTTTTAAATTGTGAACATAATATATGCTCATGTTAAAAACCCTTACGCCATCCTGAAGTATAAAAAGAAACAGTATTTCCTCATAGTGCTACTCTTCCCCAAATAACACTTACTAGGTTTAAAAAATGCATAGAGGTAGAAAATTAATCAAATAGGCAGATGCATATCATAACACATTTCAAAAAATAAAATTAACCCATGTATAAAGTGAAAAGTTCAAACAATTTAGAAAATTATAAATAAAAAGTCAGAATTTCCCTTTACCCAGTACATAAAGGGCTTAGAATATTTGCTGGCATATTGAAAGTTCAAGAAATATGACTTCTTATTATTTCAACATATCGAGATTTACCATATTCTTTTTAGTGGTGTTAATGATATTTATTGATTGGATTTTTCTATGGATGGACAATTAAGTTCTTAAGAGGTTTTTTTATTTGGATTTTTTTTTAATAAGGTCACAAAGAGTGCCTTGGAATATCTTTTGAGTACTTTTTTGAGAATTCTAAAGGATCAAATTAGAAAATGATTGATGGGTCAAATTGTATAAACATGTTAAACTGAAAGGTGCTGCTTGACTGTTCTTCAGTAGCCCTGCTATGCACATTCATGTTCTGGCCCCTTGCTTTTCCATGAACATTCTGGGTGTTTCCATATATACTCTGAAAACTCTCTGCCATGATCCATCCATTGAAAAACAGCTTATAGTTTTTAAATATTTTATCTCTTGCAGTGAGGGCTGGCATTTAAAACAATATGCATTGGGTTTTTTATGTGTATTCTGTGAAGTGTCTTCTCAGATCCTGAATTTTATTTTGGACTATTGTCATTGATTTATTGATCATCCAATAACGGCTTGGTATATGAGCAAATTTAGGGTTATTTTCTTGTTTATGATTTATTGGAATTTTTTTTCTACTCTATCCCTTGGCTTGTTAATATTTCTTATAAAAACATTTAGGACCCTTCCTGGTGGTACAATGGGTTAAAGCACAGCACTAAGAAGCTAAAGCCACTTCAGTGTGAGTTTGATCCCCGCCCACCCCGGAGATGATCCACATGGTGCGGCAGACCACTCCTGACCTGTCCCGCTGCTGCCCTCAGCAGTGTCTTAACATATCTGCCTGTTCTGCCTCCCACTCTGTCTCTGGTGAATCCTCTCCCAAACCTTGCACCTCTCACCTGTACCCCAGTACTGTATGCACAAATAAATAAGTCTTTAAAAGAAACATTTAAAAATGTTTATGCAGTCTACCAGTCTTAAAAAAGACCTTTAATAATTAATAACCAATGTGATCAGGTTATCACTAGTATTGCTTTTTTTCTCAAGGTTTTTGCCTAAGAAATTCATATAAAGTGAAATCATTTGGATCAATGGTGGTTTGTATTTTATATTCAGGAACATTCACAGAATTCCCGTCCTTTATCATACATGGACCTGGTTCTATAATTGGACTTCATTCAACACGGATAGGAAGTCCTGTCGTTTTTTGCATAACAGCACTTAAAATACTAAGCCTGGCATCTAAACCTGTGGGATTAGTGAGTCATTTCTCCTGTAGTTTGTTTGCTTATATAATATCTCACCCTTATAAATAGAACCAGAAGATTGTATGAATTTTCTTTTTCCCATTTCATATTTACAAAAAAGAGACCGTGTGTTCTTGGCAGACAGTAAGAGGAACTAGACAACAGATCAAAACCCCTCCAACTTTTCTTTGGAATTGGTAACCTTTTCTATGTATGGGATTATGCCATTGATAATAGGCCACAGATGTCTAGCACACCAAATAAAGGATGCATGTGAACCCCAGCTGTTCATCATAAATAGTGGACACACAAAGGAACTAGAGTGTTTAGTCTGTGGCTAGTGGACATCCAGCCTTCAGTTGATGGTTGGCTTTTAACCTTCCCCTTGTTCTCCTAGTTTACTGGATAGACACCTTTAGATGCTAAAATATAATTAGATGACAATTATTAAATAACAGAATCAACATGAGTTCACATTATACTTAATCCAAATTATCGTTCATGATATAACTGGATGAAGAGTTAATATTTAATTTGAATCATTTGGATGGGACTGGAATTTCGTCTTAAAGTGCCCTGTGCTGCTTTTGAAATAAGTGGATTCAGCAAGTGCTCAATAGCCATGTAATCTCTACAAAATACCATATGGGTGAAATTGACTGTAAGATTTGGTTGGTTCTCACCTGTGTGGTGAATTTACGTGAAGTCACTGGTACTTAACCTTCCACATCATTTATTTTCATAATTTTATTTTCTTAGAGAGGGTGCTTTAAATTACATATGGTAACCCCCCAAGAAAAACCCCCACAAAAACCATATGTACCTATTCTTAAGAACTTAATGTTTTACTGAAAAAGACTTATATTAATAAAAGAAACGGACCACTAAAAGCCTATAAGTTGTTTTTTTTTAAATTTTTTTAATTTTATTTTTACATCTTACATCCTGTACAGAAGTTCAGAGAAATTAATTCCATTTATGTTGCCACTACAGAAACTATTTGTCCATCTTTGTACAGACTTCAGTATAAATATCCCTTCCTTACAAAAAAAAAAAAATCCCTTCCTTAGATATTGATCTTGTGGCCAGATGTTAATCCTTGCTTGATTTTAACAAGAATACAGATTTCATGAAACACTGGGTTCTTAAGTTGGTGGTTGGGATTTTTATGTATATAGTTGGGAGGTAAATAATTAAATTGCACTTATTTTATCTGAAGAGAAGCTTGATACACTATTTTCTTAGTTAATTGTGATAGAATTGTTGGTGGGTCTCTGGTGTATTTTTTTTTCCCTTGATTTTTCTGTTTCTTATTGCCAGATAGCTTATCTTCTGTGACACTGACACTGAGAAGTTATTAGAGGATGAGCTAATCCGAACCAGTCAAGAATGGATTGAAGGCAGATGCTGCAGTGTTTATTTCCTGCCAGGGAAAAGCTTATTTGATGTTAAGCTTTGATTTTCCTTAAAACTCCCAATCATGTGGCTTTTCTCATATGGAATGATTTGGGTTTTTTTTTTTTTTTTTGATATGTTTAAAAATTTTTTTTTATAGATTTTTTCATTTTCCTGATAATCAGCTTTCATGATTGACCTGTAGGCAGTGGCTTGCAGCCTTCTAGCTAATTCAAAGTGTCTGCTTTATTTCTTATTTAGGGTGAACAATTCACAAGGAATCACTTGCCTCTCACCTTGGCTCAGAGTTAATTCGAGGGCTCATTGGCTGCCTTTTAACTTAAGACATTGTTCTTGAATTGTGACTTAGCTGTTTGTGTTAGGGCTTTGAGATTTTATCCTTTCTAATTTCAAAAATACACTCCTCTTAAAAATACTTTCTTAGTAAATTCGTCAAGTAATGTAGCTAGACACTGTTGAAAATACCCAACCTCAAATATAGAGAGTGATCCTTAGTGAGTGATTCTCTCTGAGAACTGTGAAATGTCTACACAAATATCTAGATTTCTTTTCAGACAGCCGCCACTTTAGCTACTTGGGGACTATTTCTTTACCATACTGTCTCTCTCTGGTCCATATCTTTGAATTAAGCAGAAGTCCTACGGACACAGAACTGGGTGGAATTAGGTCTCCAGAAGCATTTGCCAAGCTACTGATGGCACTCAGTCACAGTTTGGAAAGAGCTGAGCAGAATATTGCCCCTTTATTTCAAGTGAACTCTCCCAATGGAGAACTTCTGGGGAGGATTTTGGTTGAAGCCTTCTGTAAACACAGTGCTTTGAGACCAGTCTGACTTGAATTTGCTTGTTTATGTCCCAAAGAGGAGGCTAAGTCAGTGGCTCTTTGAACCTACTTCCTTTTCTCATGTATGCCTGTCTTGCATTTTCATAAGCTTTATCTCATTCGGTTCCCTTATCACTACCCATGTTTACAGATGAGAAAATAGAGGCTCAGAAAAATTCAATCATGTTTGGTACAGCTAGAACTAAGACCTACCTCCTTCTGACTTGGAAGCTTTTTCTAAGTAAACCAGACTTCTCCCGTG